AAGAAAGGCATTAATGATGGATGTGATACAAGGAGCGATGGCTGCAAACTCTCTTTAAGTTATACGAGGTGGTACTTTGTCAATTCCTGAAGCTTTGATGTTAGGTATTGAATTAACAATGTCTGTAACCTGAGAGCATTCCACCGCGGTGAAAGAGAACTGTTCTGTAGTTGGATAGTTTCTCGGAATGAAGGTGTCCGGGACGGGCGCGTACTTAAATTTCTTAGCGAGAAGTTTAACTTTTTTTCCATCGTAGATTTCCCAACCAAGCTAAATAACTTGTTGAATTCGTTTGCTACGGCTTGATCATCTTTAGTAAAACTCTTGACATTCATGGGCTGTTTTCGAATACACGACCTGATTGTCTTCCAGATGCTTCTAGTATTGTTGGGATTCTGTCTTATTTGTTTTTCAACGAGTTCCCTTTGTGCGAGCCGTATTTCCCGCTTGACGTCCCTTCTGAAATTGTGGTAGCCTTACCACATAGCTGGGTCGTTTGTTCCTCTAGCTAGTCGTTGCCAGTGTTCTCTTGACCTCATTAAACCATGAATCAGATACAATGAAATATATGAAGTTCATATATTTTGAACTGCGGTATTAGATACATATGATGCACGATCCTCGCAGTAGATAGCGAAGATCGTGCATCATATGTAAACCATTAATGTTATCATCTATAAAAGGGTTTGGTATAGCTCTCAGTTTGAAAGTTTTGACGGTTGCATTTTGATCGATGATTTGATGAAATAATGAATTGAAAGTGTCGAGTTTATCATCGGTATCCTCAAAGACGTCTACTAAAGACCAAGGGGCATTTGATATGTCGTCCAAGAATGCCTCCTTTTTAAAGTTTTTGAAGCTTCTGTGGATATATACGTAGGTCTCGGTCTCGGTTTCTTGAGGTTCAAAGATGCAACAATGAGATCGTGATCGATTATCGAGTTGGCAAAGACGTTTTTTGTACTAATGAGGCTCTCGTTGGAAACGAGTATTACCTCAATTAAGGACTCTGAAGTCTCTATTATCCCGGTGGGTCTTTCAATCAGCTGAGTTAGATTAAAGCTGTTTCCGAAATCTAGGAGAGATTTTGATCCGGTGTCATTGGCATTGAGGAGATTACAATTCAGGTCGCCCAAAGTAAAGATGGGAATATTCATTCACATAGCTGAGATCAACGCGTCGCTGAATTCAGACTCCAAACAAGAGAGAGAAGTATTCGGGGGTCTGTAGGCTGGGGAGATAAGAAATGATTTGAAGTTCTTTACTTGCACTTTGAGCCATAATTGATGGAATCCCGATTCAGCAATATAAGATACTTCATTCAGTCGAGAGCATTTGAAGTTGGAGTTTACAAATGCACATACACCTCCTCCTTTTCTTTGACTTCGATCTAACCTGTAAAGCGTATAACCTGGGAAATGTACTTCCAGATCGGTTACAGTATGATCTAGCCAGGGCTCTGAGATTATGAAAATGTCTAGCTTATGTTTTAGCGCCAAATCTTTAGCCAAGATGTGATGATTTCTATTCTTTAGTGTGCGAGTATTCAAATGAGCAATGGTGACATTGCTTTGATGTTTGAGCCTTGACTTTGTCTTCGTTTCCTCGGTTCCACCAGCAACATCGCCAGGATTGAGTTCGACTTCGCCGGATAGCGCCAAAATTCGAAGAGAATGTGTAGAAGTTGACTTTGGGTAGTATTCGAACTTTGCTTTAGTAAATGCTTTTTCCCGGATTCTGCGAAGTGCTGACATGTGTCGGATCATTTACCGCCATCCAACGGGAAAATACAGCTCGCCGCAGCGGCCCAAAGTATGAAAATTCTTATACAAAGCCTGTCCATTCCCGTGGAAGGCATTACTAGATGTCGAGAGCGATGGAAAATTCGAATAGAGGGACGTCAGCGACGCGAATGGTAGTAGCGTACTGAAGAGCATAAAATATTGACCGCCCGCCATTACTGAATTTTCACAACATCATCCTCTAATAGCCTAAAATGTTCGCTCTGATAAGTGACATTTCTTATTTCATTTATGGGGCTCAACTTGCATGACCTGTGCATCGGAGTGTCGCTTCATTGTCATTTTATATCTCTTACGCCACAGCCCCATTGGCTGGTCAGGACAAGGGTGCTTTGTCAAATCTAGTGATGCTCACCAAACAAAGTGCACCTGCAATCATTTGACTCATTTTGCTGTTCTTCTGGAGACATCATCTGGTCTAGAGAGTGCCGGTATATCAGAGGTAGGTGTCACCATAACCTATGGCTACCCTGTACAATAGGATATACTCGAATATATAAGAAAATACTTAACAGTTATTCCACGAGCGCGTGTTGGATATGAGATGATAGGTAGCCAACGAGGCGCGTAGCACCGGGTTGGCTATAATCATCTCATATCCAACAAGCACGAGTGGAATAATTGTTTTATTAAAAAAAAGCGCCCCCAATATATTAGACAAATCTTCTCGGCTTTATTTTGAAACAAGAAACCGGATGCTACAGTTTAGAGATATTAGATTATGGCATATTGGCTCACATACCATAATGACTAAGCCAATAAAAATTCTTGAATTGCATTATCCAATGATCCAGTTTTTAATAATATATTATTAGATGATGAAGTACACTGAAAACTTGGTAAGGTCGATGTAACTAGATTTCGATGTTATTTTAAGTATTGTTATTATCTTTGTGTGCTGTTTGTTTTTCATTTTCGTTAAAGAAAGACGAAAAGGCCCTGGCAATTCTTACATGCGTCGGGCTGACTCTCTCTGTTATTGGGATCTCACTGACGATAGTCAGCTATGTTGCTCTCACGTGAGTTCAGTGGTTAGACATACGGAATGTATATTAGTTAGTACATTAGTCAAATCTGAGAGAGATGAGCTTAAAAAGGTTTACAAGTATGCTGGGTTCAATCAACAGTCAGTTACCAGTGACACTCGTGCAGTACTAACCGCGTTGCTCCTGGTTTGTTCACTTCCTTGAGTTCGTTGATTTATCACTGTCGGGATACTTTAATTTTTACTAACAGAAAAGAAAGAAAGAGTAAAATGTGTAAAATGATACGTTGTTACCTTCGTTCAGCTGCTGTTGTACATTGTGTATCAATTTACTTAGTCGATTACTATTTTTTAAAGCTTATTTGTTTTATTCATTATTATTATTATTATTATTATTATTATTATTATTATTTATCTATCTATTTATTTGTTAATTTTTTGCGATTCCAGAGACATAAGAGGACCTTTATCCCAGATTCGAGTGAGTCTAGTCGCTTCTCTCGGTGCGGGACAAATCATCTTTCTTGCTGGGATTGGAGCAACTAAGAACAAGGTAAAAATTTTCAGAAGTTTTTAGTTTTTATCGTCAAAATAGGATGGAGCCAAGGAATTAAATACACAAATGGATGAAGCGATGAGTTAAATAAGAAAAAAGAAATAATCAATTGAACGAAAACTAATATTTTCTGCGAAGTACATATAACTAATGCGATTAAAAGGCTTTGCGAACATACTTAAATAATTCCATTTTCATCGAATATTAGTTTTTTTTTTCTTTCTAATTAAAAAAAGAGCAGTTAACTGCACTCTACCACTAAATGAAAGGACCCTTCTAGGCTTTTCAATTGGTCAATTTCACAAAAGAGTCAGGATGACACGCGTTATTGATATTCACCGTGCAAATAAAACAATTATGCGAATCACACACAAATCTGTCCTCTTTCGCCGTCCATTTTCTTAGGGAGGTTGAGTTACAGTGGCGACCCTTGTGCAGTATTTCTTGATGGCCGCCTTTTTCTGGATGTTAATCGAGGGAATCTACTTCTACTTGTTTGTTGGGAAAGTTTACAACGTTGATAACAAGTTTAAAAATTGCCATGGAATCTCGTGGGGTAAGGTACTCTGTGATCATTAGATTATTCAATAAACAGTTTTACCTGCCGTCCCATCTGTTACCCATGACCATTAGGTCCAACTAATTTTAGGGACAACTGCTCCGAAGAAACTTTTCTTTAGTTCTTGTTCACTCCTGTTTTTGTGCCTCGATGTTCCATAAGGATTCCCGGTAAAATTTCTGTCCGAGTTCACGAGACCAGGAATACACTGTATCAATTATAATACATATTACATTCCTAAATAGCTATGTATAGCGGTGCTAAAGGTAACTATCCGAGACGAAAAAGGAAAATTATGCTCTTGGCAGATAAGAACAAGTCTTGAATTATAATTCTGTAGGCCTTCCTGCGCTCATGATTCGATTCAAGTATTCTTTGAAATAAAAAAATTAATAAAGAAATAAATAAAAAGTCATCCCGCTACAGCTGAACAAAACTGATATAGAAATCACAATTAAAAACATGTTCAGTGTTAAAGATCGTACTCCTGATGCTCAAAAATCCATGGTAGTTTATAAATTTTCTTTTGCGGGATGTAATTCCCGTTATTTTGGCGAAACTAGTCGCCACCTCTCTACTAGGATAAAGGAGCACACGGAAAGCGATAAAAACTCGCATATTTTTAAGCATTTTAACACATTTCCTTCTTGTAAGAACAGATACTCCCTTTCTTGCTTTAGTATTCTGGATTCTGCCAGCAACTCAATTGATTTAAAACTCAAAGAAGCTTTTTATTTAAATAAGATCAAACCTGAACTTAACGAACAATTACAGCATTACAACACTTTTGTAGCATTTTAGTTCACACCTTTAATTTCGTGTTTTGTTGTCACGCTGTAATTAGTACCCGCTTTTGTATTACATCATAGTGTAAATATTTTATTCATCTACTTGTCTGTTACATAATTACTCACGTTCAGTTACTCATTGATTGAAGATGGGATAAGCATGCCGAAACATGTTTCTAAAAAAAGTTGTATGTTTGTTACAATATTTATCCTACGTGCTACTACTACGACCTTATAGAAAAGTCATGTAATAATTGACAAAAAAATCATTTCTTTATGGATTAATTTTTCTCTTTTAATTTTCCCAAAGCTGCTGGATGTCTTCGGCCAATGGTCTTATCTCGATATTCATAGTGTTTGTTGTGCTGATTGAATTTGTAAGTGGCAATAACCACAATTATTATTATCGAGACTGAAAAATTTTCAAGAGACTCACATTAGCTGATTTGCTTCTTTTAAGTTCAACACTCTGATCCTCGGGAGGGTCATCAAGGAGATGACGAACATGCAACAAGAGAAAGACAAACACAGCGAACAAATTAGGTATGGCTTATTTCATATAAGGAAATCCGGTCTCTGGATTATTGGGTCCTGGAATAAGGTCTAGGTCTGAAAACTGCAATCTGGGATCCTAATCTCCTGGAGGTGGAATCTGTAGTCAGTAACTGTAACAAGGATAAATCACCTTAATATACAATAATCTATACCTTACTGTGCTTCATTAGATATCGACAATCATAGCCCAACGATTCTAACTTTCTCGCAGACTTGGTGTGAAAGCATGCGTGGTTATGATTCCTCTGCTAGGGATCTCGTGGTTATTTGGATTACTGTCACCACTGCACAAAGCTTTCGCCTACATCTTCACGATCTTCAACTCTACACAGGTAAGATTTTGACGATGTATTCAGAGTTCAAAAGTCGTTTTGTTCTGTCACATGTACAGTCCCGGGAATCCTGTTCATCAATAGGCTTCATGAAGAGAAATGTGTTATTTTTAGGTAACATTACTACTCTAGCTCAATGCTTTAAAAGCTGCTTTAGTTTTCGTTAAAATCCTTGCATGATCGTAATAACCTGACAAAAACTCTGACTTCTCTTCAATTCAACAGGGTTTCTTCAGGTCAGTGATGTTTTATATTATTTCATGTGTATTGTCAAAGAAAAGAAGCCCTATTGGACAGGGCTAGTACTTGGATCAAAGGGTAGCATTACAAGTTCAAATCGATCAATCCATTCCCTTATTCTATCGGGTACGGAGGTCCACAAGTGTGCAAGAGCTCCACTTTTACTTTCAAACCAATTCCCGTCCATTTGGAAGGGGAAGGAGTGTGGAGGAGGGGGTGGGGAGAAAGAAGAAAGGACGTAGATGTCCAAATCACGAGTCAGGTCATCGATTTGTCAGATTATAAAGCTAGTTACGCAGCATCTGTCACATTGTATAACCTTACCTATCTTTATTGCCTCCAATTAACTGAATGACCTCAAATTCCGTTATGGCTTGAGAAAATTAGCTGATATTGAATGATCATTCATATAAAAACAAAATCAAAGGCAAAAAGACTTTGAGTGAAGAACTCCTTAAATGTATTAATGTGGTTAAGTTAATCTGCCATTAACAGATAAGAGATCGTTTGAGAAGAACGATTCAGGTCACCTTCCCAGCAATGGTCGATGAGACGAGCACGAAACGAAGTTCCGTAGTGCCCTCGGAAGTAGATGAGGATGCCACAGCCATTGCTGTCCTTAGAAAAATAAACGTTCAACCACTGAAGGACGGCGGAAAAGACAGAAAAAGTCTCCAACAAAACCTCGATGTAGTTGCCAAGTTTTGATCTATTCTAGCGCTGATTGTATAAAGGCTAACTTTTTTAATGTTAAATTCTTGAAAGCTGGAAAAAAATCATGAGAATAGGATCATGTGTTCCCTTAATGAATAGTTAAACGAATCCTTGTTGTGCGAAAATGAAGCAGAAGCCGATAGTTTCAGGCGTTCTTACTTCAGTTACATTGTACATAACCACAATAATTGAAAGTGTAATTTCGTAGTACGGCATAGTCGAGAAAAATATTGCTAGTTGTGAATTTTATTATAACTAATAACAGCTAATAATATAGTATTATATGTAAATGGACCACTGACAGAAAACCCGCAGGTAAAACAATAGTGAGGGAAGAAAACAAGTCTCAAATCTCTACAAAAAAAGGATTTGATGCTAAAATCAAATCTTAAGTTGGTTTGTAAGTACATTGTCTGTGATTTGTGACAATAGCGCCGGTTTCTATAACAGTCACTAGTGTGCTTTCCCATCGTCCCCTTTGAGTTGTTAAGTGGAGATGGTTAGGCATTTTGAATCAATTTCTGCTGCTGCTGCTGCTGAGGATGATAATGACGATGCAATTTGCTTATTAAAGTTTGTTTTCTTCTTGCAAACGGTTGATTAGATCTTGGCATTTTCTGTGACACTGTGCAAAGTGGCATGCCATTTTCTCCGAATGGTTGATTAATAAATGAATCCACGGTGTGGTATTTGCTTATGTTTTCAGAAAGGCGGAGACAACAAAGATCTTACGCTCGAGTCAAATAGATAAAGTGATATTAGTATGTTCCTTTAGAGAGTGGGTTTTTTCTTCTCTTCCTTACGTGAAACACTTTGGCTTTGCTCTTAAATGACCAAAAAACAAAAAGGAAAAAGAAAAAGTTTGGTTGAAGCTTCGTAATTTCATCAATATAGTTCCTTGACACCATTTTAAAGATAACTGCCCAGTCTCTGCAAAACACCACAAGGGTAATGACAGAGTGTACAGGCTCCTAGGGTTCGCGCATACGTGGGCCATCTGCGGACTGGGCGTAACGTAGCTGAATGAATCAGGAATCTAGCGGGTAAAATCAACAAAACAATAATGTCGGAGAATTAGACAACAGGGGGCCCACACAAGCGGCGTATCTGGTCGTTTGTTCAAAATATAAAGAAATGTATGGGAGAATATTGGAGAGTCGTAACATCGTAAACTTCTATCAATGAATGTCTATGTTGAGGTGCAAAATAAATTTAAAACTAACTCTCTTGCTGTGTTTTGTCGTTTCTGTGGTTCTAAATGGCGAATTTGAGCGATTTGGGGGGTTTTGCGTTGACTGTTATTTTACGTTATAAGAAGGAGATAGGAGGGGAAAAGCTCATTTTCGACCGCTATAGTGCGAAGCCCATTTTCATCCAGAAATTAGAATCGCTCGGCTTCCAAATCGACCACCAGGTAAACTAAAAGGTCGACGCTTCTTCTCGTGTCTTTCAATCGAAGATCCATTCAAAATCTAAGCGCTAACTTCAAAAACATTTCGAGAAATGCAGCTTTCCAAGCGATCGCCATCCACGGCACATATCTCGTGTGCCAGGGAACAACCATCACGCTGTTTGCTCCACGCTGATTGGATGATGGTATTTGAGACAGGGCATCGTTTACAATCATCCAATGAGCGTGGATTATTTACTGATAGGGTGATTTTCGAACATCTGTAATTGGAAGCCAATTGTAGCGTTAATTATTTCCTTTTCATAATCAAGGAGCAACGTACGCCTTCATTAAAAACAAGATCGCGTAAAGTTTCAAAAAAATTTATGTACGATTGACGTGGGAAGTATTTCCGTTTTATATTACAAAACTACTTCATGCGCTGCTGGTCAAATGAGAATTATGGAACTTACTTTGAAAACACGAGGCCACGTTGCTTTGTTTCCACGATCAAGTATGTGAGAACTCCTCATTCATCGTATGAAATTAGGATTGAAAGCTTCGTACATGTTGAGTGATGTAAGAAAAAGAAGTAGCAACGATAATTGTTGCATCCATCAGTCCGTCTTTACTTCTATTTTTTCGTTTTCGTCTTTCTCCTGGACGTAATAATTATCACTTTCTCTGCAGTATGAAATGCTTTCATACCAATAAGATGTAAAAACATATTTTGGACAAAAACCCTGAATGCGACATTTTGGAGTCTCGAGGAGAATATATAAACACTTCAGAGTGCTACGGGGACGAAGATTGATGTTCTTCAAAAAAATTTTTCATGCCGACAATTTAAGTTTAGATCCTAAACAAAAAGAAACAATAAAATTCAGACCTATCGCGGCAAAAAAAGTCCGAAGAATTTGATAAAAACTCACTAAATTTCATCCACCATTGTTCAAGCTACAACTACTGAGCCAACGATAATTTTCAGCGTCTTTCCCCATTGTGAAATCGTATTATGCCTTTCATCAAAGCTCTGTCGAAGGAAATAGTAAACTCAGTGGTGATCTTGCTCGAAAATCGTCGCTGTTCTTTATTTTCAACGACAGTGATGGTTCTGTTTCTTCTGATTAGGGGTCTCATGAATGATTGTTGTAGTGTTGAGGAGAAATATTGGATATATCGTGCTCTGTGCGACGAAGAAGTAGAGCCACGTGCAACCGAGGAAGAAGCCGTCGCTTTTGAGGAAGACATTTAAACGTGGCTAGTGAAGAAACGAGGGAGCTAGAGCTTCAAAAGCGGCTTACACAGAAGTTCATAATACAAATTTTAGCACATAGGTTCTTAGTTAAGCTTTTGTAGCAGGATGAAAATATTTCTTGAAAAGGCCATATTTATACTTTTAAGATGTCTTCGAGCAGGACTCTCCCAGCCAGTTTATCCTTGTTCTTATTTCCCTGGAAGTTAAAATCTCCCTTTGTCATACAATGGCTTTAAGCCGTTATGCAACGCTTTCCAAGCGAAATTGTGACATATTATGGTTTCGAAGAAAATCAATAGCCTGTTTATTCTATTAATTTTGTTTTACTTACTACAAAATTACCCTGGACTCGTGTTTGTGCAGCTTTTCATCTTCGGAGAAAAATCGGAATGCTGAAATTTTTTACAAAGGACTACTTTTTGTAATTCTCATGGAACAGAAGTATTTTGACCACACTGTTACTGTGACACCCAGACTGTGAACTCCAGAAATACATGTACTTAGGTAATTTCCTTGCAATTAAAAACAACTAAACAGCAGCAATAGGGAGTTTGCTCACTCCTGAATTTTGTGTTGAACTATACACAACTGTCATGTGAGAATCAAATCAAAGTGTTTATAGCTTTCTTAGTTTCACAGTAATAAGTAATTAAGCAGTGTGGTCGTATAGTTTACATGGTTGCATGGCCCACTGCAAATCTGTAGTTCACCACCTTCTCTATCCTCAGACTGACCAGGTGGTCTCCCTTCTACAAATTAGTTGTATTTGAATGTGCCCCCAAAAATTTAGATCAGAGGAAATAAATTTTAATAAAGGTTAAATCTATTTTACTATAAGGTAATCACGTTTCTAAACATTTAGTGAAGCAGGACAATTCTAATATTACTATTGAGTGATCCATTTGTTTATTTATTTCAACACTTTTTTATCCACTACATTGTGGGGTTACCAGTGATGGATGGATGTAGTGAGAAAAACTTCAGTAGGAATACTATCAAGGTCAACATTATAAACAACTGGCCAGGTGGTCTCCCCTTTACAAATCATTTGTATTTGAATGTGCTCCCAAAAACTTAGATCAGAAGAAATAAATCTTAACAAAGGTTAAATTAATTTTACTATAAGGTAATCGTGTTTCTAAAAATTTAGTGAAGCAGGACAATTCCAGTATTACTTTTGAGTGATCCATTTGTTTATTTATTTCAACACTTTTTTTATCCACTGCATTGTGGGGTTACCGGTGATGGATGGAGGTAGTAAGAAAAACTTCAGAAGGAATACTATCAAGGTCAACATTATAAACAAATCACAGTCTTCTTTTGCTTCTTATGGAGTCCTTCGAATCCAGGCTGACAAGCACAAACATGACTGTTCACAAAGTCAGTACAAGTATCACTGTTTACACAGGGATTATTGGAACACTCATTGATATCAATAAAGCTTTTGTATGGCTTACTCTTCTGACCCATTGTCAAGCACAAAGTGTAACGCACCCAGCGTACTATTTTTTAAGCTCACTGGCCCCTTTCTTTTAATATCTTCTGATGATACGGTTATCAATTAACCAAAAAAAAGAAAAAAGAAAAAAGGAGTCTGCTCACACATGTTGCACTTTTTTTTTTTTTTCTTACAGGAAAGCGTTTATGTAAGTCGGTATGCATCTGCTTGATCTATGCACTAAGCAAAACTTCATTATGACTTAATGCTACCCTGGCCTGTCATGACATTTCCTTTACATCCTTGTACTTTGGGTAGGTTACCCAAAAGATGCGGCTGGCCTTAAATTTCCACCTTTGTTTACCTTCAACCTGCCAGTGGCAGGATTGATAGCCCATATTACCACAACAATTGAGGATAAGTAATTAACCACCAACTTGTTTCTAGAACCAAGAATTAGAAAACAGAATAAGTAAATAAATGTACATGTTCTAACTTTTCCTCATGAGTGTGGCCACGCTATGCATATCATGGAGGGACAAATTTGACCTGCCCCCCAAAATATGATTACTCCTGTTAATTTTTTAGTCAAGGAAATTATTCCGTTTTTAACAAAATAGTACCTGCTGTTTTGCTGGTCGTATACAGTGAAATTAACTACCTGTACTGTGCTTTATATAAAATTTAATAAACCTGCAGAGTATAGGTATGAGCTGGTCTACATCTTTAGGGCAGATTAATTAACCGTAGAATGGTAGCCTGCTAGAAGGCTTGTCTTACAGAAATATAGAGCTGTCGATATTCATGAATTGAAAGCAAATTTTAAAAGGAAAGGTAAGACTTTATTCCAGTAGAACAATTTTTTTTTGTGTACAAATCTTACAAGGCGGGTTTTGAGTCTTAGAAAA